GTTTAATTTCTTTTTTAATTTCATCTGTGACTCATTGGTTCTTCAGGAGGGTGTTATCTAATTTTCATGTGTTTATGGAGGTTTTGCAATTACTTTTGTCATTAATTTCAAATTTCATTGCACTATGCTCAGATAGTATGCATGGGATAATTTCAGTTCCTTTGCATTTACTTGAGCATGTTGTATGTGCTAAAATATGGTCTATTTTAGAGGATGTCCCATGTGCAGCTGAGAAGAATATGTTTTCTGATGCTGTTGAGTGGAACACTCTGTAAAGGTCTACTAAGTCCATTTGTTCACAAGTTTGGTTTTGTTCTGTTATTTGCTAATTTTTTGACAAGTTGGTCTATTTCTTTGTGATAATGGGGTGTTAAAGTCCCCTGTTATGATTGTGTTACTGCTCATTTCATTTTTCATGTCTGTTAAAATTTATCTTATATAGTTGGTTGCTCTTGTATTTGGTGCCTAGACATTTATGATTATTTAAGAGATATTATCTCTTCCTCTTGACGTTTTCCTCTAAAAAGTATGCAGTGACCTTCTTTATCTCTTTGATCATTCTTGGTTTGAAGTTCAGATTGGCTGCAAACATAATAGCTACACCCGCTTTTTCTGGGTTCCTTTGGCATGGAATATTGTTCCATCATTTGGTTTTCAGTCTATGAATTTCCTTTTGATATAAATGTGTTTCTTGTATACAGCATAGTGTTGGATTTTGTTTCTTGATCCACTTTGCTAGTCCACTTTTTTTGATTGGTAAATTGAGACCATTTACATTGATGGTTATAATGGATATGTACTGGCTTATCTTTGCCATGTTATTTTTCTGCTGTTGGTTCACCCATTTTCCCTCTATTTAATTTCTTGCTCTACTTGCTGGTTCCTTTCTGTTTTTGTTCCTGAATCTGTGGTCACTTCTATCTCTTTCTAAAATATCTTTTAGTACTCTTTGGAGGGTTCGTTTGCTGCTTGTGAGTTTCTTCAGTTGCTCTTTATCATGGAAATATTTTATTTCTCCATTAATCTTGAAGCATAATTTTGCAAGGTACAACAGTCTGGGTGAGAAGTTGTTTTATTTTAGTACCTGAAATACTTCACTCCAAGCTCTTCATGACTTGATGGTTTGTGTTGAGAAATCTGCCATGATTCTGATGGGCTTTCCTTTATAGATGATCTGTTTCTTGCCTCTAACAACTTTTAATATTCTGGTCTTTCACTGAAATTCTGGGATCCTGATCACTATTTGTCTGGGTGAAGATTTATTTTGGTTGTAGCTTATTAAAGTTCTATATGCCTCACTTATCTGTATGTTCTATTCTTTTTCCATGCCTGGGAAATTTTCTACTATTACTTCTGCAAATAGTGTTTTTATGTCATTTGTGTTGATGCCTGCTGTTTTGCAGACACCTATTAATCATACATTGTTTTTCTTTGCTTTGTCTTGCAGCTGTTGAATTGTTATTTCCTGGTTCCTTGTTATTTTTAAGAGAGCCTTCCTTTCACAATCATTAGCTGCAGTGCTGTCTTCAAGGTCTGAAAGTCTATCTTCAACTTCCTTCAAGCAGTTTTTCCGCTTTCAGTGGAAGTTTTAATTTCCTGGATATCTGTTTGAATCTGTTTCATGCATTCTAATTATTTCCTATATTATTCATTCAAGGTTTCCATCATTTTTCGTTTTT